GGCTCCCCTCGGCAGAGGGACACGCGTGAGGTGGTGGCCATCAAGTGTGTGAGCAAGCGGAGCCTCAACCGGGCATCGGTGGAGAACCTGCTGACGGAGATTGAGATCCTGAAGACCATCCGCCATCCACACATTGTGGAGCTCAAGGACTTCCAGGTGGGGCTGGGGGCTTCCCCGGGGCCAGCATCCGTCTGGCTTGGCTCCTGGGGTCCGTCCTGGCTCCCCAAGGGTGTGTATCCTGGCAAACCGGTCCAGGCAGGCCCTGCGTGGGTGGGATCCATGGCGGGAGTGGCCAGGGCGGCTTGATGTGGGTCCTCTCGCCTTGCAGTGGGACAGCGACCACATCTACCTGATCATGGAGTTCTGCGCCGGGGGGGACCTCTCCCGCTTCATCCGGACGCGCAGGATCCTCCCAGAGAAGGTAGCACGCATCTTCCTGCAGCAGCTTGGTAAGGGCCCCTCCCTGGGGACTTTGGGGGGTGACACACGTGGCTGTGGTGGCATCCCCCCTGCCACATGCCTGTTTGCCCACCCAGCCTGCGCCCTGAAGTTCCTCCATGACCGCAACATCTCCCACCTGGACCTAAAACCTCAGAACATCCTCCTGAGCTCCCCAGAGAACCCCCAGCTGAAGCTGGCAGGTCAGGGCAGGTCCCTGGGGAGGGGCCAGGGGTGGCAATTCCTTCCTTCTGTCCCTCTCCCCTGAGCTCTACTCACCCTCTCCCCCACAGATTTCGGGTTTGCACAGCACATGTCACCATGGGACGAGAAGCACGTTCTGCGGGGCTCCCCGCTCTACATGGCCCCCGAGATGGTCTGCCGCCAGCAGTACGACGCCCGGGTGGACCTGTGGTCGGTGGGCGTCATCCTTTATGGTGGGCTTTTGCTTTTATCCCCCCACCCCAGGGCTTGGCATCGGGCTGGTTTCCTCTTCTCCATCTCCCCCTTTTCCCCCCCTCCGCAGAAGCACTTTTCGGAAGGCCGCCCTTTGCCTCCCGCTCCTTCGCCGAGCTGGAGGAGAAGATCCGCAGCAGCCAGGCAGTTGAGGTAATGCAGGGTGGGACAGGGCCAGGTGGGATCTCACTGTGGGTCCCTGTGCTGGGGCTGCAGCAGGGATAGGTGGTATCAGCCCCCTTCCCTCCCCAGCTGCCCAGCCGGCCCCCGCTCTCCCCGGAATGCCGGGATCTCTTAGGACAGCTCTTGGAGAGGGACCCTTTGAAGCGCATCTCCTTTGAGTGCTTCTTCGCCCACCCTTTCGTGGATATGGAGCACGTCCCTGGCCCCGAGAGCCTCAGCAAGGCGGTGAGCGGGGTGCTGGTGTGCTGCTCCCTGGGGATGTGGGGGGGCCAAGCTCTGAGCCCCCCCCTCCCCATCTCCCCCAGACCGACCTGGTGGTGGAGGCGGTGAAGAAGGATCAGGAGGGGGACGCCTCTGCTGCCCTCTCCCTCTCCTGCAAAGCCCTGGAGTATTTTGTGCCAGCTCTGCACTGTGAGGGGGAGGCCAGTTTGCAGCCCACCCACCCCATTTTTCGGTTTCTTTCCACCCCCCCCAGACGAAAGCGATGCTCGCCGGAAAGCAGCCATCCGTGCCAAGGTGAGCCAGAAGTCCCTGGGGAGGTGGGAGACAGCATGCCCCCCCCGCCTTCCCTGCCCAGCTTAGCTTGGCGAGATGCCCCCCATCCTCTGCCCCCGCAGCAGGGGTCCCCTCACCCCCTGCTGTGGGCAGGTAGGGCAGTACATCTCCCGAGCGGAGGAGCTGAAGGCGTTGGTCACCTCCAGCAGCAAGAACCTCCTGCAGGAAGGGAACCCGGCCAGAGCGCTCCTTAAAGGTAGCGGGTTTTGGGGGGACACCCTCCAGCCCTGCCCTGGCATCAGCAGAGCAGGAAGGGGGCACCCGGTGGGGTTTTGGGCTGAAGGGTGCCTCCTGGGGGTGCTCCCCAATGCAGCATCCCCTCTTGCAGAGATGGCCAAGGACAAGCCTCGGCTCTGCGCTGCACTGGAAATGGCTTCTGCTGCCATCGCTAAGGTGACTCATGAATTTGGGGGTCCCCTTGGGTGGGAGGGGAAAGAGCAAACCCAGGTGGGGAGGGAGCTGCCGTATCCCCCCGCCTGCAGCCCGACCACCAGGGTCTCTTGCAGGAGGAGGAAGGCAAAGATGACGGTGACACCCTGGAGCTCTACCAGCACAGCCTGGGGGACCTGCTGCTCCTCCTGGCCGGTGAGTTGTGGCCACAGCCAGGTGCTGTGGGGCAGGGACGGATCCTGCGCCCGTGGCTGATCTGGCGGTGCATCCCTTTTTCCCTCTGCAGCGGAGCCTGCGGGGAGGCGACGGGAGCTGCTTCATGCCGAGGTGAGTGCCTGCCATGAGACAGCGGCGTGTCCCCATTGGCGCGGCTCTGAAGGGACTTCTCTTTCTCTCCGCCAGATCCAGACCCTGATGGCCCGAGCCGAGTACCTGAAAGATCAGATGAAGGTACGGCTGCTTGGGGGGGAGCTCTGGAGCATGCCTGGGGGTGCTCCCAAGCCTGCTTTGGCGGCTTACAGGTTGGAAACACTCCTTTCCCCTGGCAGATGCGGGAGGCGCGATCTGTGGGCAAGGAGGCGCTGGCAGAGCCCGTCCGGAGCAGTGAGTCCACATCTCCATCCTCCATTCCCTCTCATCCCTTCGCAGGGGGCTTGGGTGAAAAGCGTCCCCTCTCGTGGCTGCGGTCCCGCGGCGGGGAATATCCCTACCACTGCCACAGCCATGGGGATATTCCTGCCCGTGGGTAATCCTGACCTGGCACACACTCCTCTTCCCCCCCAGCACGGGGTCAGCCGTGCCCAAGCCCACCCGGGCTGGGAGACGGTGCGTGCAGGCAAGTGAGAGCCCTCTGTGCCCCCCGGCACAGCCTGTACCTTGCAGTGATGCCCGCCGGTGGGGTGGAGGAAAGACGAGGCTTTCATCCTGACTGCGCTGGGGTAACCACCTCGGGGGCTCACCCGTGGGCTTCCACCCCCGGAGGGTCCCACAGGTGGGTCCGCGGGGCCATCTGCCCCTCAGCCTTCCCCGGCCACAGCAGGCAGGTTATTCCACTCCAATTCCCTCCGCTGGCTGCAACGGGCTGAGTATTTTTATCCCAGCACCCAGGCTCCAGCAGAATATCCCCCCTGCCAATGGCATGTGTCTCTCTGCCTTTTCGGCTGGGTGTTTCTTCCACCTCCCACATTCTTCTGGGGGAGCCTCGAGCGTACACACAGCCCGGCCCCCGGCAGACCCCTGCCGGTAGCTCCAGGCTGTTGGTGACAGCAGCAGGCCGGGGGTCAGGGACGCTGCCTGCACCTGCCCTCCCCTGTGCCTTTCTCAGCCAGCAACTACCTCTGCACCCACCGCCGCTCGCCCGGCCTTGAGCACCCAATTTTGCACTGTCCCAGCCCAGCCGTACCTCCCGCTCGCTGCCGGAGCATTGGGGTGGAGGCTTTTGCTTCCCTCAACCCGTCCGCACTGGAGTCTGGCACGCACCCTCTTGCCTTCGCCATTTGTGTCATGAGGTGTTAGCAGTTCTCAGCGGGGACGGGTGGATTCTGCCTGCTCCTTGGCGGGTATAGTCGTCGAATAAAACAGATGAGCCAAAATCAATCACCTTCAGGGACAGAGTCGCACAGCTGCCTGCAGCGATACCTCCCTGAAGGCAGAGCCTGGGCGTCCTGTCCACTCCGCTCCTCAGGGCTCTGACAACCCGAATATCCAAATTATATTCCCAGGAGCCCTCCCAGCCCTGCAGAAGTCACTGACCCTGGGTGGTGAGGTCTGCCTGTCCTGCAAAGCAAGGGACTTGTCTCAAAAATGTACTATATGTGAAGGGAATGTAATTTATTGTCTTTAATAAACACTTATTTTTGTTTTCTCCAATTACTCCAGTCTCAGCTTTGTGCTTTAAGATCCAAGGGGGGTCCCTGGCCCAGCCCAGGACCGGAGCCAAGGGGGGATCCCCCCCTCTTCCAGCCTGCGCTGGCTGGGAACGCCCTACCTCCCTGTCCTTCCTGGGGACACAAGGCTGCCAAAGCAAGGTTTGACCTTGTTTTCACTTCAGATCTTTTTTATTTTGTGCATGTGCGTGTGTGTGTGTGCACGCACGTGTAAAACATCAAGCAGAGCGACACGAAGGGTTACGTAAAATCACATTTTGTCCAATAGATTTTTATGGCGGGTGAGGAAGCTGGGCTGGGTATAGAGGTGTGGGGGAAAGACAGAGGGGCTGGAGGAAATGATGGGGTGATTTTTGGGGAGCCCTGGGGATGCTCCCCGCCGTGACCCCAGCATGGCTCCCCC